TTGATCATTTTGTCGTATTTCTAAACACAATTGTAACCAACAACAAGAGCCCCTTTTTTACGAGCTTCGCTCTACGAGTATTTGTTATAAATAGATATTTGAGAATGAAGAGATCTGTGAGTGACTCGAGAAGTGGGGCCTAAACAGCGAGACCTTTGTTTATACTGGACCAGCTTGGACGTGACGCGATGCGACAGTCAGTGTCGGCACTCGGAGACGCGGAGTTAAAACAGGAATAAACACTGTAAATTTGCCTGATAGAAGTTACAGGGATAAGTAAATAAATATATCAGAAATGGAATCTTCGGTCACCTTGTAAGTAGCTTGCAATTCGATTATTTCATGTTCGTGTGCACCCAATACAAACGTATAGTTTTGTGAATAATGCACATTAAAATTGTTAACTAAAGAACTTGTTTTCATCTTCATGCGTATAGGTGTTGAGTTGGCTATACCCCCGGTGTTATGATCAACATTTTTGTAAAAGTTCTGGCAGGAGCTTCTACGTGTCACTTGGTGGTCGGTCGGTCGGTCGGATGGTCTGTCTGTCTGCCTGTCTGTCTGTCCCCGGAAAATTGACCAACAGTATGGTGTTCCATATGTGCCATCGACACTGCATTATTCGGCGTCGCATTTTCAGCTCTGGCAGGGATCATTTGTATCGATTTCATGCAAGTCTTTCATGAAAGAGTTCTTGTAACACGGCCAGAGCTAAATGTGCTCTCGAACTTGCGCCGTACATCTTCCTCGAACAAGGTGGATGTCATTTTGTGAGTGGTTGGACAGTATCCAGAAGAAGGAAATGTCCCCAAAGGTGGGCGGGGTGCGATTTTTAGCTCTGGCAGGAGCATCTACATGTCACTTGGTAGCTGGTTGGTCGGTCGGTCGGTCGAATGGTCTGTCTGGCTGTCTGTCCCAAAAAGTGACCAAAAGTATGGTGTTCAATATGTGCCATCGGCGTCGCATTTTTCGCCAGAGCTTATTGTGCACTCGCACTTGTTTACCGAGAACTGGCAAAAATGAGCCGCTGTAAAACCGCCCTCCAACGTCAAGATAACTGGGTTTCTGGATCCTGTGGATTAAGAGATTTAGTTTCGGCTGTTCCCAGGAACGGCTGGATCCCAGCTTCTTGGGTTGGTTGCGCGCTGCGTCTGGTCCTAGGCAAAGTTGTCAAAACAGGGAAGAATTTCTCGTCTAAGCTCTACACCTGCAACTTGCTCTACTTTTCTCCGGGACGTGACTGTTCTATTTTTTCCATTGGACGGGATTAAACGTGTTCAGTAAGCGAAGACTCTCTCCTCTACTTTTTGATAAACGAAATTGGAGCGGGACTTGAACCCAGGACCTTTGGAACACTGTACCGGTGTCATATGAAACTCAGACTCATATGAAAATCGGACTCCTTTACCCTTTTATTGGTTAAACCCTCTCACGTGACCGGACGCCTCCTAATTATCTTCGCTTATAGCATGCGCCATACTACCAGTGAGTCCGTATTTCATAGGAACCTAAATTCACGCTACACAGGCGCTCTACCAAATGAGCTTTGTATACCATCTGAGCTTACACGACAGAGGAAGGAACTATTTCAGTGAAAACACGGTAAACTTTTACTAAAATTTGAATAATTTTTTAATTATGCAGGTTCCTAGTCCTGTATACAAAACTTTGTCAAAGCGCAAGTAAAAAAAATGATGTCCCCAATTTGAACGAGCGTCGCAGGCGTTTGATAAACTCGAGAGTCTTCTCTCGCAGTTGCAAAAGATAACCGATCGTAGAAGTCGGCCATCTTGAATTTGAAGCAAGGAGTACCCTGCAAATATCTTTGCAAAATCTTGTAATAAATGTAAATTTAACACGACCTTAAGTTGTGGATAATTTCTCTCATGTTTTAGGCCCAGTGCACCATTTTTTTTTTAAATCGATACGAGCATGTTTTATACAGTCTGGTCCCTTCCTATTCAAGAGTTTACAGTAGATTCGAGGAGCAAGATTTTACATGACCACCCCGGGAATAAGGGCTCATATCAGATCAGTGGCTCATATAGGCATCATCGAGTCTGACTGACTGACTATTGTCAACCATGCAGTACTCTGCTTGTTTGTGTCCTTTCTGCTGAGTACTAGTGCAGGCTCCGTGGCCACTTAGGCCGGTATGTTCACGAAGGCGCCAAAAGGGTTATTGGCGGTTCGCGGGCAAAACGTTTGGAATTTATGAACGTCGCCACGGACTATTAAGACTTGACATTTATAGAAAAATAAAAAAAGAGTCGATTTCTTGGGAAGATTGGGAGGCGTTAGTCAGTATTACTAATGCAGTGAGAATGTCGTTGCGCAAAACACAATTCGAATATTGCGAAATGATCGAAAACGACTTTCAAAGTTGGTGGAACTTTTGAACTTCGAGGAGAGTATCTTGCAATGAACGGTGACCAACTCATGTTGAGAACATAGGTTTAAACTCACTGTGCACAAAAATGATTTATTCTTTTTGGCTTCATATTGCTTAACACTTTTTCATTGTGGTAAGAGTTCAAAGGGAAATTAAGGAGATTTCAAACTGAAACATAAGGGAAATTATTACAGTTATTTTATTATTAAAATACTCCCTATAACTGATGATGAAGGTGCAGAAAAAACCGGGGTTAAAAGAGCTAGGGACTAAAATCTCACATTGGAATCATAGATGCAGGAAGTTGTGAAAGATTATATTAAAACAACCTTAGGTGATATGCGTCCAACAGACTGGTCGGGTTGCTAAACTGTTGGCAAACGAAAACAGTTGTAATTTTATCAAGTACATATTATTCCGCACTAACTTTTTTCCTGCTTCGTGATTTTGCTTGCAATTTGCGAGGTAACTAATCACAGTGAACTTTTCGTTATTTTCGATCACCACTTTGATCTAAACCTAAAGGATGGTCAAAACAGCCCAACAGCCACAGCGATCTTAAGGACGATGAAGAGCAAGACGCACAGAGAAAAACAAGCCGCTTATATTGGAGGGGATGTTGTTTAAAGTTATCTAGAAGTGGTACTTGAAATCGCTCTCGAGCTGCCGTAACAATGGTGCGTAGACCACCGCGATTTTTGCGAGATGTTGAACAGCTTTCGACTTCAATAGCACTGTCCCTCCCAAAACCGCATCATAGCTTAATGAGGCAACCTTCAAGTATCATACAACTCGCTTCCATAAAAGACTTCAAGTTGCCGGACCACCTTGTTTCAAAGGCCCGTACGTGCTCCTCTGCCGTCTGGAGGTACAACCCACCACGGACCAAAGAGGCACCCGAAACGCTCATGCAAGACTCCAAAGTTTCTGTAGTCTGGGACAATGCCATTAAACGAATCTGCGCTGTGGCAAGAAGTCAAGTGGTGCGAATTTAATTGATGTAAACACACTTTGGCCATTGTTTGTCGAAGAGGAGCATAAAGCTCGCGTAGCTCTTCAATAACCCTGTCTTGAATCAGTGAATAAACCAATTATGTAAATATGGGAGTAAAATTGGTAACTGAATTTGTAGCAGTGTAGGTACTTAAACTCATGGAACGTTTACAAAAAAGAAACGCACTCATCTTAAGCTGTCTGCCACTTTGATCCAAAAATCAAACAGACAAAGGAAGATCGCTTGATCAGATTTTGAGTGTTGGAGTCGGGAAGGTGCCACAAAATAGGGTTCAACTATCGGACAAGCCAGCCGATCGAAAAAAAAACCTGCTGATAGGCTTAACAATCTTTTGTGAACAATTTCTGTGTATCTCGCGAAATCAAACTGTTTGGTTCTCTGGAGCAGGGAATCTTGAAAACAAAATTACATGATTTGGAGGAAGGGGTATTGCGTGCATGGGGCCTTTGGGTGATGACATATGGTCGGTTTGTTCGAATAAAAATCCTTTACCTAATTTGCCACGGACACAAAACTGAGCATACAGTTGATTCGGATGCATTCAGGGGCGGGCCAGCACAAAGAAGAAACCTCTTGACAACTGACTATCCGGTTAGTGTGACGTCAGTTCAGTTGAAACCACGCCCACTGGCCATTTAGTAGCAATGCATCCAGAAGCTATCGCAACTTGTGTGTTTATCCAATCAGGCGCAATCAGTGGTGCGCGCGCGTGTGTGACGTTTTTACCAACGAACCGGATTTTCGGTTCGTAAAAGACTGCGTCATACACGCGCGCGCAATCACCATTGATTACTAGCGCCCATTGGCTAAACACGCCACTTTATACTACTTCCGGTTCCAATGGTTCCAACGCTACACCATGTATAGTGGGCGTGGTTTAAGTTGAAACGACGTCACACTTACTAACCGGATGTAGTCTTCGAAAAAAAAATCAAAGTCATCGAACGCGATTTATATACTAAATTAAAGGCGAAATATGCATTCGCCACATACCACTTCGACAGACTCACTCGGTTTAAGAACACTGCATAATAGTTTTGTGTCTTGACCTTTGCCTCCCAATTCTGATTGAAACAAAGGTCCATGTTTGAACCAATCTCGGGAAATACGCCTCACTGTTGCCTTTAGCAAACACTATCATTTTCTCTGCAAATACTTAAATGTGTGCTCACTCCTTTTTAATATCCGGGCTTTTCGTGTTTGTTTCCAGATGCAGAGGTGTGTGGTGACAACTTCTATTAAAACAAATCTTCCCACGCTATTAGCATTAACCACGCGTCGTTTTGTTTTCCGCAGAATTCTTTTGACCTTTCGCTGACGTCAATTTACAAAAATAATTATTATACTGTCTTAATGTTCCAGGCAAAACTCGATATTGCATTTTGTGGCTTTTTGCCTTGTTTGTTGATTTTGTTTTCAATGTGTAGGCGGTGAATCATACTGATTCAATTAGTCTATTGCTTATGATTCAATCTTGATTATTACTTGTCGTAAGTCAATCATGTCAAGGGAATTACAAGTTTTTTCCTCACTCAAAATAAATGATTAATCATTAAGTCCTATTTTTCTCCCCTTTTTGGTTACTGTCCACAGTTTGTCAGGGAACCGAGTCTCCATACCAGCCAGATCTATGTTTGTGTGTTCTGTGCTTCTGTGCCTGATGACCACCCAATCCCTCATCACAGCGGCATCAACGACCGGTAGGAGACTACCGCACACCAACCCGTTGATCCTTCTGGATGCTGAAGAGGAGGATTCCACGACGTCCTCGCACCGAGGCGGCAGTAACGAGCGGGGCACGGGGGTCGGCGGGCCGCTCGCCCCGGAAGAGGTGCTGACACCTGTGGGCGATGAACCGTACGAAGTCACAGAGAAACAGTACCTGAGGGGTGACTGGTGCAAGACCCTCCCGCTCAAACAGCGTATCGACGTGGAGGGCTGCATCAGCAGGACCATAACCAATCGCCTCTGCTACGGTCAGTGCAACTCGTTTTACATCCCCAAACAGTCGTCGGACTTCAACGACGCCTTCAGGTCCTGCTCTTTTTGCAAACCGTACCGGATAACCACGTTCACGGTGAGTCTACGGTGTCCTGGACAGACCCCCAGCATTCAGCGGAAGAGGGTGGAGAAGGTCAAGCAGTGTCGATGTGTCGCGGTGGACGTCTCGTAAACTTTTGTGTCATTGTGTATGTTCAGCAACTGAACGCCCACGGAGGAGAAGGCTACGACGTGTGCGGCACGGCGGTACGCCTTGTGATTGGTCGAAAGTCGTGCAACGTCATCACGCGCACTGCGCATAACTTTGACCGAGTTGATGTCGAGTATTAGGATATTTCTCTTTTGGATTTGCGTGTTACGGAATGAAACAAACAGGTCGTGGAATCATCCAGAGTAGAAGTCGGAAGTTCACACAAGAGCAATCGGGACTGTTTTATGAGGCGTTATGACGTTTATGGCACACATCTCTTTGACTCATTACTATCATTCTCGCGTATTGTAGTTAATGAAATCGCATAATTATTTTCCCCTAATAATGCTAGGCTTTCTGAAATGATTTCCACATAAAGATTGCGTTGTATTTTCATGATATAAATCCTTAAGGAGCTCAATGACTCAACAGACGAGTACCTACGGCGTGTGACCCAAAAGAATGGCCTTTGGATAACCGACAAACGAGTGTGTCAGTCCCTTCAATGATGTATTCACCAGTGCCAGTTCAAAATTCGAAAATATGCAACAATTTTCAACAAAAACCAACATGGTGCAAATTAGTGGGGTACCAGACATACTGCGAATTTAACTTTTGTTTTTGTTGTTTAAATCGAACTGGCTCTCTGCCTAGGGATACTTAAATATTTTAGTAATGCATACCGAAAATTACTGCCCTCAATACCTACCTTCAAACAAAATCAAATTATGAGAACCAAACAATATCTAAGCTACATTTTAATAAATTATTATCCATACAAAATGGTGTACTGGATTCATGGTAATAATACTTAACTCGCAGTGTTCTCCTAGAGGTTTTGCACCGGTTGAGACTACTTTTGCAGAGGACAGTACTATGTTGTATATGCACTGTAAACAGTTTATCTTATTGCTTTGAAAAATGTTTATTCATACTGAGGAGAAAGGGAATTTATAGGGAGGATACAACATTTGCAAACATCTAAAAACCAAATGATCAAATTATCACAAAATATCTTACTGGAGTGTTAGGGAATGACAGTTTAAAGCGTCTTGTAAAATCGTGGCTCCTGGTGTGCTTTTCTTGACATTTTCAAGTATTTTTCTTGTATTTTTCCAACGCTGGTCGGCCGACCAGCGTTCCAGTCAGGGAACCAGACTACAAAAACATGGTTGGTTTTCTTGGATTTTCCAGCATCTCCGAACCCAAAACGTGAAGCAAGTCAGTTTAAAAATATTTGCTATAACATACTTAATATCCTCCTATCCATTTATTTCTGAAAATTGCAGCAAAAGCAAATGTTGTACATTCCCTTTAAAGTTTCCCATCACTAGAAAAAAACTGACATCAAAACAATAAATAATGACATTTAACAGTATACGATTTATTTTATGGAATACTTTTGAATAATATGATACGGTTACATAACAACGGGGAAACAATGCTTGTGTATAAAAAGTTGTATGTGTACCTCATTAAGTGTGTATTGTATTTAAAAACTGGCTCTGATTATTTTATTAATATATATTATATATTTTATTTGTAAATATGTTACATACGCAAACTTGTATTATTCAAACAGAATTATTTTTGTTTACGCGATTATAACCACCAGAAGTTTAAACTTTTTTGTTTTATTATTAAAGTTAAGTAATTTCCAGCTTAAATAACAAGCTCTTGCGATGTACTAATGCTAGACATTTATTTTTGGGAAATATATTGCTTCGTTGAAGAAGTCAATAATGGATGTATCCATTATTAAGTGCATTTACCTTATAATTGTTCCGGAAGCGGACAATCTGTTTTGCCTCAACCCAAATTTGATATCGTTCAAAAATCCCGCCAAAATTAGAGAAGCGGCTATTTATCTTCTGCTTTTAAACGCATAAAAAATAAATATGATACAACTTACCTCCCTAAGACTTGCCCTAACTCACACCGATGGTATTTCTATAAGTAGAGATTTCTTTTTGTAATGAAGATAAGTTAATGCTGTTGTCATCATAATCTCAATTCATGTTAGTGTAGTAAATTGGGGGGCACAGTTGGTGGCAATAATGGGGGAACTCGAAGGGTAGTTTTGTCTCCTTCACATTTGGAAATCTTGGCAAATTGTGGCAAAATTTCCTTCCGAATCTCCCTCTCCCTTTTTTTGGCATCCCTCGTGACAAAATTAGCAATAATTAGAGTTTAATTAAGTGCCAACATAATATACGTTACATATCGACTCTGCAATGAAAAGTCACACACCCGTGAAACCCGGTTTTCGAAAATATTTCCGGCTGGAAAATTTCAGGACATGTGTTTCAGGACTTTTTGTGTATCCGTTCAAATCAAATCAGCTGCCGCTGTTTACTTGAAGAGAAGGTGTTTTCTTTATTTTGCTGAGTCAAGTAGCAAAGGGGCTGGTTATTGAATGTAGTTGAGGTAAACACGTGTACCGATTCTTGGTGAATGTATTAACTATTCATAAATTAAACGCTTGTGCATGAAAAAAACTATATAAGCACGCAGTATATATGCATCACTTTTGCCTGATGTAACATTTGTACCATAAATCCAGATAGAGTTTGTATTGAATTTAATAGTAATATTTCAAGAGTCAAGAACTGGAGAGATCGACAAAATATGTGTACTTATTCATTATTCAATGTCGCTTTGTGGTTTTTTTTCCTTCTTCTCCTTGGACGAGCACATTTTATCCTAAAGTTTGAAAATGGTGATGAATAAAAGTTATTAAGTATCATGTCATTGATCATGTGCTTCTTGAACATTATTTGCATAATTGTGAATGGTTGAGGGCGTCATCGGGCATTGCGAAAGAGCCAGTTCGGTATTCCTTGCGGGTGCAGACCGGTAAATAGGCCCAGATTTGCCGATGCGCGCGGGCCAAATCACGATTTGTATGCCCACTGGGTTTTTTTTTGGGGGGGGGGGATTTTGTGGGCCATGAACTTGACGGTTTGTATAAACAGAAGTGTGGAAGCCGTGCACGGAATTGTGAGCTCGTATTTTTGTGAAATTCGGATGAAATTGGGCCCTAAAATTTCTCTATTTAGCAATGGAGCGCAGGAATCATTTTTCAAAATGGCGATGGACCACAGGGCTACTGTTCAGGAGCGATCATCTTTGGATGAAATTTTTTCCCAAAAATTACTATCCAAAAATTAACAGAAAATTAAAGATGATGACATTAGCTTTAATTTGATGGGTGTCTCAAGCACCTATGAGAGTTGTGAGTATTTTTAATATATTTTTGAAGTGCGCATAATTATCACGAAGGTCTATTATGGGAGGGGAGTCGATTTGCTGGTCTGCACCCTTGCGCATAGCGCGATTTCACGAAATTCATCTGGATAACATTATGAAACAGCGGTGCGCATTAGAATAAGGATACGCGGACTGAGCTGGAGGCGGGCCCACATGATTTTTAAAAAGAGGTAGCTGGGGTGTTGAAGTCGAAGATTTTTCAGGGGGGGGGGGGGGGGGGGGGTTGAACGAGGCGTTAGCGTTGCAGTCAACGCATATTGGGCCCCAAGGCCTTAAGCAGTGAATCAAGATTTACAAAATTGAGTGATAAACTTATAGAAATTTGGGACTTAAACAAATAGGTACAAGTATTGGTTCCAATTTTGGCAAATTAAATTAGCGTGCAAAATGTGGTCAAAATGTGGTTCGGCTATAAGTTTTGGGCAACAAGCTGGGCTGCTTAACCCAGCTGACTGGAGAGCACTGGTTTGGTTCTTCATGTTGCTCGTGGCTGATAAACAAATTGATATTGATTAATATCGGTCTTAGATTTCGCTCGAGAGTCGAGGGGATTTTTTAATAACACCTCGTAAACCATAAATCTATATCTTAGTGTATTTGTAGCCAAAGCAACATGGGACATGTATGACTAAGTGAACAAAATTGGCTAACCCTGTTGTTAAACGTAGAGCGAATAAAAGCCTTAAAAATGCCATGCAAGAGGCCGAGTTAAACACGCCAAGAAAAGAGGGAAGACAGTGTGGTACCTTGTTTGGTTAGCAGTTAACATGACCGTTCCATCTGCTATCGCATACGTTTGATATCTTTCCGATTTCGCGAGCCGTCAACTGTAATCGACAGGTGTGCGCGTGTGTCGTGTTGGCGTGTAAGGCGAACACGCAGGGAGCCAAGCTGGCGTCGGGGGTCCGTACGGATCAACGGAGGCGTAAAAGATATCAAACACTTCCGATTGGAATGATGCAGAAAACATCAAATCAAAACAGGTTGGGAAGGAGGAGTGTCAGTTGAAAATCACCGAGAGCCGTTGGGGTTCGCTGAATCAATTTCTAGAAGATATCGAGACGCTGAGGAATTTCTGACATTTGTCAAAAAGTGTCGAGAGGGCGGAAGTAAAACTCTGGGTTGTTTTTTGTAAGGCTAGTGGAGGAATGAACAGAGATATGTCTTGCTCCATGGCAATTGTCCTGGTTTGTGTTTTAACAATTATTATTGTTCCATTTGTAGTGATGTACAGAACTTTATTAATGTTCACTTGCAAGTATAATACATGAATGGAAATCAGGGCTTGTGAACACCCCCTGCGCATAACCTGACCCCCTCCCCCCAGAGTCTGAGTATCACCCGTTGTCCAACGGAGCCTCTCCATATTAATCAACGTCGGATATAATGTGAGCAATACAAATGTATGCGAACTCACGCGACAGCCAATCGGAGTCGACTTTAGAAGTTGTGACGTCATATATTTCGATCAGAAATGTGGTCAATTTGGCTTCCATGTTTTTGTTATAAAACATGTTATAATTTATGAATCTAGATGTATGCTCTCGTCTCATACCAGCTTGTGTTTTTCTACGTTTATTCGAATAACTAGTTATAATTTATGAATCTAGATGTATGCCCTCGTCTCATACCAGTTTGTGTTTTTCTAGGTTGTGTCTTTGTGTGTCTTACTGTTGTCCATTTTGTCCTTTGTCACTGTCTCTGTTTTTCTTGGTCATGTCCACTTGTCTGTCGATAGGTTAGGGTACAAAAGCGTGACGCTTCACCTTATACCTAAATGTTGTCGTAAATTTGTTCTAGTATTGATCCATGTAGGCCTACATTATTATACACAATTACATAACTCCGTGCATTTTGCTCTGTATAATATGTTTACACGGCATTGTAACATTTTATTGTGTGGAAATGGCAACATTGAAATAAATGTTTCTACTACTACTTATACAACAACAGGTTACCGAAGACTGATAGGAGGCGCCCGCTGAATGGTCAGAATCTCGAGGTCAAGACGCAGTCTTGTTTTGCATAATTATCTGCTCGCATATCTTATATTTATTATAGACTTTTGATAGACTACCCCCCCCCCCCTCCCCCACCTACCAATCGAACGGATCTCGGAAGCTGCGGGCCAACGCATTCGTGTTGTGCCATGTAATTTCTGGAAGGAGTAGTGTTTACAGTAAAAAAAAATCAGGTTTTTGCCCCCAGTGACCCCATGATGACCTTTGACCCCAGTTTGGTCTTGGGACATGTTGGGGCTAGGCTTCTGATACTTTTGACGAAGTTTGGTTGAAATCGGTCAAAATATGTAGGGGCAATAGATATTGTCAACTTTTGTTACTAACAAACTAAAAAGTGAACTTAATACCAAAGGTAGACCCGGTAACATTGTGTCAAGCAACAGGTTGCTTATTATCACTTCCATTAAAATACAATGCTTCAAAAATCAATCCAGACTCTACGTATCGAGCAAATTGTACATATTTTAACCCTGGTAAACCTATCGCATTTAAGTAGTGGTTTAAAAGGTCATTAGTCCAAGTGACTGTTTATTTGTGTATTATAAGCATGGGGAAAAAATCATGGGAATTCGATTTTTTTTTCCACTGGATTTCACCGCCCAAATGAACAAGAAAGATAAACGCCGTAAAGAATAAACCAATATACGGTTTCCGGTCACACCTTGAGTGACTAATAACTACCTGAAAATGGCAGTTTTCGGAGACTGAGGCCAAATGTTGTTAGT